GGTAGTTTTAAGTGGGGTTATAAGTAGGGTAACTGTAATTATAACCCATATTAGGGGACTTATAACTCCATTTAGCAGGGCCCAGGATTCAAAGAGCCTGAAGACTTAGGGCTTAGGGCTTAGAGGGTTTAGGGCTTAGGGGAGCCTAGAGACTTAGGGTTTAGGGCTTTTAGGGCTTATAGGGCTTAGGGCTTATAGGGTTTAGGGTTTAGGGTATATAGCCTAGAGACTTGGGGTGTAGGGTGTAGGGCTTATAGGGTTTAGGGTTTAGAGCCTGAAGAATTAGGGTTTAGGGGTTAGGGCTTAGAGGGTTTAGGGTCTAGGGTTAATTCCCAAGGTTGCTGTTAGGGTTCCTTATTATAGATATACTATAAGGGAGCCCAAAACCCTATTGAAATTCTTAAGGCCCCTACATTAGGATTCGGAGCCCTTAGGGGTTTCTAGAGTTTGGGGTTCCGTGGAAGGGTGTCATAAGATTGTTGTTTAGGTTTCCGTGGGGATGTGATGGGCTTTTGTGTTCAATCCAGGTGTGAGCTTATCGGCGTACCATTTGCGTCGCGTTCCAAGGTTTGGGCATTTGTGGTGAACCTTTCTGGATGGTACATGTAAGGGTTCGGGGCAAGGGCTCGGGTACGTTTCTGGGAACTCCTTCGGAATTTGTTTCGTGTTTTTTACCCGTAGATGCGCGTGTTTAGTGAAACCAGCTTTTCAATTTGGGATCGAATGTGGGCAGAAGGTTCGGGCTGTTTGGGATTAGGTTTGAGTGGGTTTGGAGGCGTGCTTGCATTCCTTGTCGTCTGTGGCACGGACCGCAGAGCTTGCATGAAGAAAGAGTTCACGATTTAGGGTAATTAATGCAGGCGCATGAGTACTAGTTTAATGCCTCAGGGTTCCCTATTATCAGATGGGGATGGATGGATGATAGGTAGATGGGCAATAATGATGGGATATGATATATGATAACCTTATAGTATAATACCCGAGAACCCTATTCTAATTAATAAGGCCCCTAAACCCTAAACCCTATGCGGAGCCTTGCCGGCCATGTGCGAGTGTGAGAGTCGAAACCCTAAACCCTAAACCCTAAACCCTAAACCCTCACCCTTTAAGGCCCCTATATTGGCTAATAGATAGGGAAGGAGCCATAGGCTCCTCTGACTTTGCAGGCTCACGCGCCCTGGGATCAGTTACGCAGCCGCTCAGCTGGGGATAGCACAAGGGGCCTCCTAGCTTTTTTTGGCCTCATCCGGTCCCGACACGTGGGTTTATGCAGGGTTGTAGGGGGGTCATATACATGGTTCCGGGCTTCCCAACTGATCGGCATTGCAGAGTCCGGTTACACTCGCCGTCGCTTGGCAATCAAAAGTACATCAGTTTGGTAAGCCCCGGGTACTTGGAGGTTCATGGGTAGATATAAGTGGAGTTATAAGTCCCCTAGTATGAGTTATAACTGTAGTTACCCTACTTATAGCCCCACTTATAACTACCCATGGACCTCCAAGTAGTGCTCCGAGGTCCGAGCCCTCAATCGCCTTCCGAGGTAGGAAGGGCCACGTGATGCGGTCAACGTGCTGGTTTGCAAGGGGCGGCTGCACCTGCGACTACACCTATGGAGATGCTGCTCGGTGTGTTGTGGAAGTAACAAAGACTCTGACATGTTCCATTAAGGTCCCTACTTTTAATTCTATACCTAAGCCGCCTAAACCCCGTTCTGATGAATAAGGTCCTTGCATTAGAGCCAAGTGTTGCGAACTGCGACAGCTCTGCAGTGCGATGCAATCCTCTCTCTCCGGGATCGCAGCAATGCCTTTGAAGGATCGTGGCCTCACAGGTTCTGATGCAAAACCATAGAAAACACATGGAAAACTCCTAATAACCCCGAGCCCCAGTTCTGTGATCGGCTCCTAAGTTATAATTAAGCGAGTTTCAATACGGGTTAGTAGTTAGAAGAGTGTTCGGGTGTTTTGTACGATGCTTGGATTTAGGGACACTACTTGGAGGTCCATGGGTAGTTATAAGTGGGGTTATAAGTAAGGTAACTTTAGTTATAACTCATATTACGGGACTTATAACTCCACTTATAACCCATGAACCTCCAAGTAAGCTTTGCCCCCAAGGCCCGCGTCAGCTTGACTCGGAGATCATCTTCGGGGAGCTTTGCGGAGAGCATGGAGAGGCCAAGATCTCTTGGGACCTAGGGTTTAGGGTTTAGG